AATTAATTAAATCTTATAAATATGTATACTATTTTAAAAAAATAAATTACTATATCAATATAAAATTTTAAAAGAATTAATATTAATTTTAAGAATATTTTAAGTTTTTAACATTTGTAAATTATTTTTCTAATAATTATTTTGTCACATAAAAACTAAATGGGCAAAAACCCACATATTAAATAGAAAGGCCCAACAAAGTTAAACACCTAGAAACAATTGTAAAAGTCTAGGGGCGGTTGCTTCTCTCTCAATTTTTGCAGGTGGCGGCTTCCTCCTCGTCTTTGTCGACTGCTTCTTCCCTCTCATTTTTTTTGGTGGCTATATATATATATTGAAATATCTTCTCTATTATTATTATTATTATTATTATTGTTGTTGTTGTTGTTGTTGTTGTTGTTGTTATACCCATAAAATATCGGGTAACTTACACAAATACCCTTAAAATTAAGAGTCTTTTGAAAAATCATATGAAAAAAATTTTGGAAGTAAAAAAGACTGTATAATATTAAAAAGTGACACAACGCCATTTTTTTATAAAAATTGTAACATTTTAATAAATGAAACACAATGCCACTTTTAAAAGTTAAATGTCACTTTTTTTTATTAAAAAATGACATACATTGTCACTTTTATTAAAAATTGATGTTTGTCAATAAAAAATAGTGATAGAAATCAAGAAAATAACTGAAAAACGTAATAACACAAACAAAAGTGACAAAAATTTAAAAAAAAAATGATAAATACTAAAAAAAGTAACAAAAATTCAAAAAAAGTGATATAAATTTTAAAAAAGTGACGAATTCAAAAAAGTGACATAAATTAAAAGAAGTTACACAAATTAAAAAAATGACGGACAATAAAAAAAGTGACAATCAGTCTATTTATTTTTCTCATATATTTACAAGAGAAACCAGATAATAGCAACAGCAACAACATTAGCTTCATCTATAGGCCAAACATTATCATAGATAAAGCAGTGGTGGGACAAAAGATGGATCGAAAAAAACAAAATTCAGACATAAAAATCATTATTCGACTAACTTTTTCTAGAGCGCTCGACTTATATGGTATGACCGTAACACAGTGAGCATAGATTAAAAAGCTGCGGCCAGGGGAGGCAAACGAGATGCCTCTTGGAAGAAATTGGGATGAGAATCAATTTCGTCAATTTCATATCGGTTTTCAACCTCCTCTTCTTTTTCAGCATCCCACAAAAAACTAGCATATGAGGCTAGCACATAACAGTCATTGGGGTCAATTTTAACAGCTTGATCAAATTAAGCTTCGGCTCGAGCAACATCATTTTTAGTCTGCCATATTAGATCAGCATAGAGTGATAAAACACTGCCATCACTTGGATCAGCCAAAATTGTCATGCCACAATACTCTTCTACTTTTGAAAAATCTCCTTTAACCTCTTTCAAGAACTAGGCATAATTTGCTAAAAAGAGAGTATTGCTAGGATTTGCTTCAATCATTTTTTGATAATAAGAATATGCACTCTCAATCCCTTTCCAACTATTCGGATCTTGTGAACCGGATCCCAACCCATCATCCGACCCTCTTCTGCCACCACCCCCGCACACCCGGTGACCTACTCCGCTTCCACAGCCCATCACAAAAGCCTGGGGCACACTTGCATTATCTGCCACCGCCACACACGCTTCTTCCTCCGCAACGGTATAATATCGAATTCGGGTGATGACCCAATTGTTGAATTGGGTATCCATGAATTCAAGATTGGTGATGAAGAGCTTCTCAATAACATTGTTCTTTAACTTTCTTGGTTTGATTTTGAAGATCTATTTAGAGAAAGAGAAAGGAAGCTGTGCTACTTTTGAGTCCTCTGTGTTGGAGGAGAGAGTGTCTGAAATCGCCTGAAATTGGTTAAGAGAAATCATTGATTTTGGGTTTGGTTGGGGTTGAACTGTATTCATTTTTCATCTGAGAGAACGTATATTATATGGTTAATGGAAGTTTTAGAAGCGAAAGGGTATTAGTCAATTTTTCAATTAATGGGCTGTACTGGACCAAATTATCCCTAAAATATCTAATATTGGGGGCTTGGGTCCTACCTATTAGGCCCACAGGCTCATTTTGCCCATTTTCACTTCTATGTATATGCGATTCATTTCATAACAAAGGGGAGGTCCACGTGGAGGGGACGTGACAGTGATTCTCTTGGCTCATTTTTTTGGATCAACGGATTTGCGTCGTCTGTGGAAAATGGTACATTAACCATGTTTTACCATGTACCAAAAAGCCATCGAAAAATATGGTTTTCCTGGCAGTGGTCTACTGAAAACCAGCAAAGACAGCACCTAAAGAGAATTTTTCGAAAAAATTACTTCTAACAAAAAGTGGAAGGAATCAGCCACAAAAAAAGAATTGTTACTGGAACGGGGTGATGGCAAAAAATTAGCTCAACGGGAGTGTCAATGGAAGGACTTTTTTCCCTCCAACTCGGTTCTTCATAAAACAAAAGTTCTAGTAAGGGCTACATGTTCTTCCTTCGAGCCACACTTTTCTCCATAAACTAAAACCGTGCCCATTTTTTTCTTGAACAAAGATAGCTAGAATAAAAGATATTTTAGAAACGGCCTTGCTACACGTAATTGCTGGCTTACACTCTGGATTACACTTCTTAATAAAAAGACCTAAATATCATTCTTCTATCTTTTAGTCAAGTCAAGGTTCTCTATTTCTATTATAGGATACGTTTGGTTTATTTCTTCTAATAAATAGAAAAACCAATTATGCTCGTATTTATCAATATATTTTTTATCAAAACAATCGTCTAATATTTTAATTTTATTTTCTAATTTATTAAATTTTTTATTAATTCTGACTATATTTTTTGTAAAATATAAAGGCACGGGTATATTTCTACTATTTTTC